CTCATCATATTACATGGCAGTACACTGCGATCCCTGTATATCTCATCATATTACATGGCAGTACACTGCGATCCCTGTATATCTCATCATATTACATGGCAGTACACTGCGATCCCTGTATATCTCATCATATTACATGGCAGTACACTGCGATCCCTGTATAACTCATCATATTACATGGCAGTACACTTCGATCCCTGTATATCTCATCATATTACATGGCAGTACACTGCGATCCCTGTATATCTCATCATATTACATGGAGGGACACTGCAATCACTGGGCAGTTCGCATGGAACACACAGAGAGGACTTTGCATTGCTGTTCGCTCCACACAGCACAGCGATCTCTTTGATTGGCCACACAGAGCACCAATCAGAAGCAGCCAGATCTGCCCCCACTTCCCCTGAGATAGTTTGAATGACTGTGATAGCGGAGAGTGCGGGCAGAGCACAAGCTACGGGCACACATGGCGCACACCGGCCTGTCAATCACAATGGGGACCCCTCTGCTCCTCGCCCTGTGTCTGTCCGCTGTGTGTGCCGCCGCAGAGCCCGTGAGCCCGGAGAAGAGCCTGGTGTGGGGTCCCGGGCTGGAAGCCGCCATCACCCTCCCTGTGCGATACTTCTACATCCAGGCGGTGGACGGCGCAGGACACAAGTTCACCTCCTCCCCAGGTAATGGTCACATGATCCGCTAATCTGATCCCAGGTGATCAATGGTGCCAGCACCATCTACAGCCAGGGACACCCAGCTCCGCCCCCTCTCTGACGTCACTGCACAGCTTTCCTCATTCCTGGACTTTAACCATTCCCTGACCACCTCCATCACTGTATGGGAGCTGTGTTCAGCAGATTGCAGCTCGTCACTGTAGTGTGTGCCTCAGCTCTGCAGACTGTCAGAAACAATATGACAGGATGTGCCTCTTACCATGGGCACTAGCTGATTTTCCTGTCACACCATATGTGCCTCTTACCATGGGCACTAGCTGATTTTCCTGTCACACCATATGTGCCCCTTACAGGTTCAGTGACAGTTTGTTGCACACTGCAGTTTAAAGGCCAAACCTTTGATTTTTGGATAGAGCGGGGAAGGGTTGGCCCCTCTGTCAAGTTTTTATTGCTGTCTGCGTCCCCATAGGGGAGATCCACCACCTTATTTGTACTGGTGACCACTGGGGATGTGTGTGGGCTAGGTGTCAACACAGTTTGCCCAAGCCCATGCAGAACTGTCAGTGACACCCCCCTCCTGGCCCAATCAGTAGTGGCCGGGGGATTCCCCCTGCCCCACAACCACACATAACAAAGGGACGATGAGTGCCCTGGCCGCCACTGATTGGGCTGGGAGGGGGGTGTCACTGACCGGGGCAAAATCTGTTTACACCAAGCCCACACACACCACTAGTGACCACTGTCACCGAGGGAAAAGCCAAAATGTTGTCACAAGAGGTAAGGGGACAGCTTCTAATGGGGACACCAGTCCAAATCTTCACTATTCAATTTGTATCATTCACTGAAAAAGCGATTCCTGCGGCTATGCTAAGCAGTGTGGACGGGGGAATCTTCCACCTTGGCTACTGCATTCTAGTAGCCAGCACACGCCGCTGTCAGAATACATGAGCAGTGAGCTGATTGGCTGCAGTCACTGTTTGGCTTCGACAATAGTCCATTCAGTTACTGCCTTTTGTTGAAGCGGCCAGGCCACACACACTGTCAGACTTGGATCGGATTCCTGTCATTTGGCCAATATTCTACCAGTGTATGGCCAGCCAAAGGAGAAATACCCCTCACTTTGGGAGATTTCTCCTGACTTCTTGTTGTGTCTCTGGGACAGGAAGTGAAGGACATTTACCCCTCCATACCTAGACAGCAAAAAAATCAACTGACCTGGGTTTTAACCCTTCCTTACTCTAAGACTAACAAAAATAAAACATTGGCTATACATACACTTTAAAGGAGAACTACGAGGTGAGTGCTTTTCACTCACCTCATAGTACGAGCCGACGTGTGACAATGAGACTGTCACAGGTCGGCTCAGTAGATCGGGAGGTGAGCGAACACATACCGGCGTTCGCTCACCTCTCGATCCTGTCACGGCTCTCTGCCGTGACAGGAGGGGCTGGATTCCCCCCGCTCCGACCCGCCAGCGATGACTGGCGGAACGGACGGGGGAGGGGGCGGGTACAGCTGGCTCTGCCTTTGGATAGGCAGAGCCAGATGTCAGTCACGCAGCTGGGCGGATCCCGGCACAATTGTCGGGATCCGCTTCAGCTGCGGCATCTCACAGTATACTGAGCATAGGGTGATGGGAGGATGCTAATTTGTGTCCTCCCGTTACCCTGAGGAGAACTATGGGGAAAAGACTTAACCCCATAGTTCTCCTTTAAGATGGGGTGGGTGGTGAAACTACAAATCCCATCATGTACTGTCACAGGCAGGACTCCCAACCTTGCAATGCCTCATGGGATTCGTAGTTCCACAACAGCCGGAGGGTCCGAGTGTGCCCACCCCTGCTCTAAGATCAATGTACATTATATATCTGAATATAGCACGCTGATTAAATGAAAGAGAACAAAAATAAAATGTGGAGGACGTAGTTGCTGGCCTCTGATGCTGCCTGACTGCCATGCTGATCCTCATGCTTCAGTACTTTGTGTCTCCAGCTGGGAAAAAAGGTGCTGATAAAACATCTGGCTTTCCAAGTCTGTATGCTTATTTTGCTTGGATACTGTGCCTCTAGTGCAATGATATGGTGGGAACCGGCCTGGAAAAAATATTTAAAAAAACTTTGTTGCATCTCAGTGCTGCCAATCTCCTGCAGGCTGTTTGTAGCCACTTCCTGTCTGTCTGTACTCCAGCTATGGCCGCATGGCATTTCCCAGTGTGGATTTGCTGATGGTGATAACGGTGGCCCATGGCTGTGTGTTGAATGTTTAAACAACCACTTGTGGTCCCCATCAGTGGCCCATGTGACAGGGTGGCAACACAGGAGCACATCTGGAAGACGGGGCAGGGCGTTGTCATTCTATAACTAAAGTTGCAGATGGAACATTGACCTGTGAAAGTACACGGCCATGTTGGGGTTTCTATGAGAGTTTATTGGTTGGGTTTTTATATATTCAAAAGAAACCTGTTATAAGAAAAATATGTCATTGCCGATCCCCTTCTAAAAATGCTAGCTCATGGCTGTCAAAGGGATCCTCAGGTTTCAGTCGTTTCTGAGTCAGTGGACTGGAACAAGAACACACCCAGTGTCAGAACTCTTCATCTGAATGCTCAGTGACTCAGAAATGATTCATGACAGCATAAGCATATCAGCCAACATAGCGACATGGCCGCTCCGCTGCACAATGTTTGGCTGCCATCCCCTTTCCGGCCACAGCATCCTGTGTATGGCCCTTACACATCTCCCCGCTCAGCACATAGCAACCTAAGACGCTCTGGCCAGCATCCTGCCCAGCTCCTGGCAACCAGTGACCAACCAGGGAGGAGTGTATGGCCCTTACACATCTTCCCGCTCAGCTCATAGCAACCTAAGACGCTCTGGCCAGCATCCTGCCCAGCTCCTGGCAACCAGTGACCAACCAGGGAGGAGTGTATGGCCCTTACACATCTTCCCGCTCAGCTCATAGCAACCTAAGACGCTCTGGCCAGCATCCTGCCCAGCTCCTGGCAACCAGTGACCAACCAGGGAGGAGTGTATGGCCCTTACACATCTTCCCGCTCAGCTCATAGCAACCTAAGACGCTCTGGCCAGCATCCTGCCCAGCTCCTGGCAACCAGTGACCAACCAGGGAGGAGTGTATGGCCCTTACACATCTTCCCGCTCAGCTCATAGCAACCTAAGACGCTCTGGCCAGCATCCTGCCCAGCTCCTGGCAACCAGTGACCAACCAGGGAGGAGTGTATGGCCCTTACACATCTTCCCGCTCAGCTCATAGCAACCTAAGACGCTCTGGCCAGCATCCTGCCCAGCTCCTGGCAACCAGTGACCAACCAGGGAGGAGTGTATGGCCCTTACACATCTTCCCGCTCAGCTCATAGCAACCTAAGACGCTCTGGCCAGCATCCTGCCCAGCTCCTGGCAACCAGTGACCAACCAGGGAGGAGTGTATGGCCCTTACACATCTTCCCGCTCAGCTCATAGCAACCTAAGACGCTCTGGCCAGCATCCTGCCCAGCTCCTGGCAACCAGTGACCAACCAGGGAGGAGTGTATGGCCCTTACACATCTTCCCGCTCAGCTCATAGCAACCTAAGACGCTCTGGCCAGCATCCTGCCCAGCTCCTGGCAACCAGTGACCAACCAGGGAGGAGTGTATGGCCCTTACACATCTTCCCGCTCAGCTCATAGCAACCTAAGACGCTCTGGCCAGCATCCTGCCCAGCTCCTGGCAACCAGTGACCAACCAGGGAGGAGTGTATGGCCCTTACACATCTTCCCGCTCAGCTCATAGCAACCTAAGACGCTCTGGCCAGCATCCTGCCCAGCTCCTGGCAACCAGTGACCAACCAGGGAGGAGTGTATGGCCCTTACACATCTTCCCGCTCAGCTCATAGCAACCTAAGACGCTCTGGCCAGCATCCTGCCCAGCTCCTGGCAACCAGTGACCAACCAGGGAGGAGTGTATGGCCCTTACACATCTTCCCGCTCAGCTCATAGCAACCTAAGACGCTCTGGCCAGCATCCTGCCCAGCTCCTGGCAACCAGTGACCAACCAGGGAGGAGTGTATGGCCCTTACACATCTCCCCGCTCAGCACATAGCAACCTAGGACGCTCTGGGCAGCATCCCGCCCAGCTCCTGACAACCAGCGATGTCACTGGTTGCCAGGAGCTGGGAAGGACTACACGCCCACCCCACCCCCTCTTCTCCAGCTTTTACAGGTACATGTCATACATGAAATGCTCATATAATCTTCTGGGAAGATGAAATGAATGGTCTGTCAAGTGGGTCATAATTAATAGATAACCTCTCATCCATAGAAATCCCCATTCTGACGCCCGTCCTTTGCCTTTTGTGTTCCAGGGAGTAAATCATTTAAGGTAACCATCAGATCGCTCTCTAACACGGAATACGTCCGAATTCACGTACCTGAACCCCTGGATAGAAATGACGGCTCTTTCCTGATGAGGTACCGCATGTACGGCAGTGTCACTGAGGGTCTGATTATTGAAGTCCTGCACGAGGACAAGCATGTCGCTCAGTCTCCTTATATACTGAAAGGTAAGATGACTTTATTGGCACCGTGTGTACGTTACACCTAAAAGTGATATTTAGTTATAGGTGGACCCCGGTGGGCTGACAACCCCGGGCTTCTTATATGTTTTGGACACACCAACATTTCCTTACTCTATTCCTGGCTAGGACCTACATGGTCAATTCCCCTGATTGCATTCTTCGGTCTCGTTCACACCTAGGCGTATTGCATATGCGCGTCTGTCGCGATTCGCGGTAAAAAAGTCACGCGACAAACGCGCGTTTCCGAAGGCTACTTGGCTGTATCCCAATGGAAACGCGCAACAAAACGCCCCAAAGTAGTACATGTACCTTTTCAGGCGTGGGCCGTTTTGTAGCGCGTTAGGGACGGGCTGAAATACGCCAAGGTGGGAACGAGACCATTGAATACAATGGGATTTATATTTTTGAGCGTTTTGTAGAGCGTTCGTGGAGCGTAGAACGCGCTACAAAACGTTCAGGTGTGAACGAGGGCTTCATGACATAAAATGTTAATTAAGGGGAACCCTCATAATGGCCTCAGCAATGTATAGAGCTTGAATTCAGAACAGAGACTTCTCCCACAGCCGCTGACGTATACGCTGACAAACGAAACTCAAATAATCACGTGCTCCAACATCTACCAAACACGAAAATATCAGTTTTGGTTGGACCGACCCATTGAAGAGGACTGGAACTGTGGAAGCTGTGCCCAAAACAAGCAGGGGGTAAAGGACTGGTCATCAGTACTGACTGTGGTCTCCCTGAAGCTGATCTTTTCCCCATTGACTTACCATGCCATGTCTTGCACTGTGCCTGTGTGGAGGTGGCCATCTTGGTAGAGCATCAGGGCTTTGGTTCCTTATATTACAACTGTGTCTCCTGATAACTGGTGGGGGAATATTCAAGAAGCATAGATCCACAAAATGAGTGAAGCAGAAGCAGGGAGATGCATGCACGTCCTATGGTCTAGATTTCTCTCCAGCAAGGAGATGAGTGAGCAGCATTGTAGTGACATCACCAAATGTCATGAGTCCAGCACAGCGGTGCCTTAGATCTCACATTGCGGATATACAAATATGAGTCTGTAGGTACAGGAGTGCCCAGGAAAATTTTTTAATCTATATTCACACTATGTGTACTTTAAGATTCCTGTGGCAGGAACCTACGAATCCCTGCTGCAGGAATCCCAAATATGCCGATTAGAAGCGGCCGCTGTCACCCATTCAAGTTAATGATGAGGGGAGATCGGCCACAATTGAAAGTGGCAGTCCTCATGTAATCGAATGTAATATGTCTACATGTGGTTTGGAATAGATCTCTCTCCCTGGAGGCATCTATCTTTTACATGCCAATGTTAAAAACCGGTGCAGGCGTTAGGGTTTGTTTTACCTTCTGCCATTAAGGTGTTAATGGCTGCTCTACAACATACTATTTCAGTCTTGTCTTTTAACAATATTATTTAAAGGTGTGGTGAGACAGTAACATTTCCTGCCACTTAATGTCTTTTGGCCTTGTCTTGGCTTGTTCCAGTATCTGCGGAGGATGAAATCCTTCACAAAGGAGAAAACCTGGTTATTGAAAATGAAGCCTACTGATTTGAAGGGAGGAGCTATGACGTCTTTTCTTATCTCCTTGCAGTGGTAGAATAGATGAAACCCTCCACTATATGGGTGCCATGAATTACCTCTGATTATTGGCACAGTTGGTGTATTTGGATTGAGTTGTATATGAATTCCTGACCTGTCATATCAGAAAGCAGCGCAATCATTTTTTCAACCAAAGCTGTATCTTTCATCCTTACAAAGCAGTCAGAACTTTCTTCTGTGGATTTGCCTTGGCTATTATTATTATATAATAAATCTGCTGCAGACAGGAAGAAGCATCTCCTCAGTCTCCTCTCTCCCAGTCAACCTGCAACATTGTAACCAAATGTGAGGCTGAAGCAGTGGCTGTAGCCTATCACACTTGTGGAAGTGAAGCAGGATAAAGATAAATATGTCAGTGTACCGCATCCTGCAGGATCAAGAATAATATAAATAGTACTATTGCAGACTTCCAAGGTACTCAGAAGATTTATCCATACACATTTACATAAAATCATTCAATATTTGATTTATTTTTCAATAGAATTCCAACATCACAGATGACCATTACCCATTTTTATCACTTTGCATTTCCTATTTAAAATCCATTCTTCAGCCAACTATCCCCCACATATATCACAGGACCCTTATGTACAGTATACAGATTACTCATGAAATGTCCCATATTTATGGTTTAGATCAGATCCAAGGTCATCCACTGGTGACTTAGGGGGACAAAATCTTTTTTTCTCTGCAGCACCGATGCTGCTTCTTCAGGAGAGGGCTAGAGATGTCTAAATGAATACAGTGAATAATACAATTATATTTCATTCAATGTAATACAGAGAGTTTTTCTGGAGGATAAAGCATATATACATACTCTGTATGAACAGACCAATGCCACAACCAGCGCGGCACAAACTCAGTGGGGGGGACTAGGATGCAGGCACAGTGGAACTTGTCTCACGATAGAACTGGATCTTAATGCACAATATATAAATTCATACTCCTGTTCTATTTCTTCATGGTCAGCCCCTCTCATAACAAAGTATCTCACAGCACACAACGCACACAACTTACACTCTTTATGCCAGAAGTTGGAAACACGGTTCACACTTGCCCTATTCTTTAGTCCAATCCAGTTCTTTCAAGCTGATTCAGTGTACCCCATGACATTGAAAGGGAAAGACAAGCATATTCTTCATGCTGTGTAGTCACTCGAGATTCTCACTACGGTTGTCTAAAATTGTATTGGAATGCCACAAATATATGCATTGCTCATTACCTTTGTAAGATTGCCATATGAGTTACATGATTGTGTAATTTTGAGCCAGCCTGTCAGGCCAGGTAGTAGATGCTGACACGGGATGATGCCTGAACAAAGATGGTTCTGTCCATCTTGGGAGAAAAGCAGATGAAGGCATTGTATGTAGGAGTTTTGTGATCTCTGGGAGAGGTAATATGTTCAGTATAACTGTTACACTTATACATTACTTAAACATACAGCACATAGCATGGAAAAATACCTCTGATGCTTTCATATACTTGCCATGTGAACTTCCATGTATTTTCTGCCTTCCTTTAGGGCCTGTTTATCATGAATACTGTGTCTGCCCCGAAGAAGAGCCTGAAGTCTGGTTACAAACTCTGTCATGCCCCACCAAGGAGTCTCAGATCTCCAATGACTTTGCTCCTTTCCCCAGTATAGACCTGAATAGAATGCTGGAGGAAGTTCCTCGGAGGTTTTCCGAACAGCGAGGAGCCATAGTACATTACACAGTTCTCGATAACCAAATCTATCGGCGCTCCCTGGGCAAGTACACGGACTTCAAAATGTTCTCAGATGAGATATTACAGTCTTTGGCAAGAAAGGTACCAGTATGCCAAGATTCCTTTAAGCATCAAAATCTTTGTTCTGTACTCCAAGCTGTAAACAAGGCTTGGCAGGTTATATTTAGATCAGTTTACATTTAATAGAAATACCGATGTGTTTGATTGCTGCCTAGGGGGCAGATGCTTGTGTGTGTGATTCACTCTTTGCTTGCAGTGTTGTCTGAGGTTCTGAGAAATTAATAATCTATAAATACTTGCTTTAGGTACAACTGCCTGATTTAGAATTCTATATCAATGTCGGGGACTGGCCGGTTGAACATAGAAATGTCAATGACACCCCTGGGCCACTGCCGATGATTTCTTGGTGTGGATCTACTGACTCCAGAGACATCATACTTCCCACATATGACATCACTCACTCCACTTTAGAAACTCTTCGTGGCGTCACCAATGACCTTCTCTCTATCCAGGGCCACACCGGTAAGATTATCATCTTTCCTTTACCAAACAACGCCATATTGTACACACATCATAAAATAACAATTTGCTATTAACATGATGTCTTTGGATGGCTTATGTTATTAGATTTATAGGAAAAGAAAATAATACCTAAAGATCTGCTGCCCCTACCCAAACCATACTCCTCTAACTAATCGTTGCAGCCAAGCTCAAAGAATGTACCCAAATCTATGGTCACATGATGCCCTTGGTCCCGAATCTTCTTATCTGCAGAGTGTAGGATCCTTCAGATAGACAGATGACATAATGATAAGGGGACCTGTCTTTGCGGGCACAGGCCACGGCACTGGATCACTGGTCTCACAACCAGAAGGGGTGCTGGTGAGAGACCCGGAAGGTGGACTATGTAGCTTTAGATGTGGGTTTTATTTTTTTATTTATTACATTTTTTTAGAAAAAGGCTTTGAATGGGCGGATGGGCGGCTGTTGTTTTCCCATAGCTGGGCTTTAATTTGACAGTAGACAGTGTAAACCCACATTATGGTATATTCCTAATAGCTGCTTGCTGCATCTCATCTGGTTTCAAAGCAATATTCACATTCGAACCTATAATTTCAGTAGTAACTTTTAGGCTAGGTTCACACCTGCACTGCACTGCACAACACCTGGGACACGCATCCCGGGACTGCGCGGTCCTGTACAATGCAGGCAGCGATTGCCGCGCAACCCCATTGATTTCAATGGGGTGACAGCCACGCGGCAATAGCGGAAAAAAAAGGTACAAGTACCTTTTCTTGCGATTCACGATGCGCGGCTGTTTTAGTTGTGTTCGGAAGTGCGACTGGGGTGCCATTAGAAAATAATGGCACCCACAGCGTGATCGGTTCACACCTTGGTGTGAACCTAGTCTCACTTTTTCTTGGTGGGGAAGGGACAAACAAGGTTTTGATTTGCTGGTATTGTCTTAAGTTGTGTTTTTTTTTTTGGTTACAATTTTGTAAATGTCTCAAAGGCATACTGCAGTAAAATAGACCTCATATACCGGTACTTTCTCCAGTCCAACCAGTACTCATTTTAAGTTGTGTTTTCTCTAGGTATAGAACTGAAACTTCTCCCATTTTTAAATTTACACCAAAATTATATTCCTTCTACAGTGCACAGCAAATTTAATTACAAATGAATGTTTTTTTGCTTGTTAGTTTTTTTCAACTACTCCAGCTCTCGCAGCTGTATATTGTAGCTGTCATTTTTATATTTTTCTACATCATTTGTAGACAAAAAGATGTAGTGTGGGGCGAAGGCATGCTACGTATGCTCTGCCTACTTCAGTGAAGTTTTTTGGGACATACGTACCTAAGGTACAAGACAAGTTAGTAATTTCAGCTATGTGTTTCTTTATTTCTTATGATACAAGAAATGAATACGTAAAATAAATAAAACCCCAGAAACACTTTTTGCATGAGCAGTATCATTTTCGTATTCAGGGGAAATAATCTAAAGAGACCAGCAAAAGGAGTTAATTAGGAGTAGTTACTGATAACAAGAGGTTAATAAGAAGTTAAATAGGAAAGACTTGTTAAAATAAATAACAGAAAATGTTTTTTCTATTTTCTCCATTTTTGCATCAGAAATGCGTGTGTTAAAAATAGTGCAGTTAGTAAGAGAGAGCCTGAGCAAGCTTCAGGGACAATAGTGTGAAAGTCGGCTTGGAATTATTCAACAGCTGGATGCTTTTTGTTCAGCTACCAGGTTCATACCACTTTTTGGTGCCGATACTGATACAGGACTGTTGATTGTCTACATCTGAATTTCTCTGACTCTATCATTATAAATACTTTATTGATGATTCATTCATGATGCGTAAGGTCCTTCCTGGGAAAACAAAACGGAGCAGGCCTTCTTCAGAGGACGGGACAGCCGGGAGGAACGTCTCCAGCTTGCCCGAATGTCCAAAAAACACCCTGAACTGCTGGATGCCGGGATCACTGGATATTTCTTCTTCCGGGAGATGGAGAAACAGCTGGGGAAAGCTTCGCTAGTTGGATTCTTTGACTTCTTTAAAGTGAGTCTTATAGCAGGCTTTCAAAGGTTCCAGCCCCCAAGGTAGTCATATTAGATAGAAATAACTAATCAGGCAAAATGGATGACACAGATTACAGTAGAGGAACAATACGAGGTATAGTCACGTCGATGTAGCAGACATTTTGGCTTGATTTGTCAGCTCCTCTATTCTGCCTTATAAATTCCAGATGTTAGTTTCCTAGTGCAGCTGGCTGCTATGGTTGGCATCGTTTCCTTCCTTGTTTCAGATGTTACCAGTTACTGCTAATACGACATATACACTACAGGCCCCAATCACTGGTACAGAAATATATTGTAAAAAAAACAGACATTTTTGTGCAGCAGTTTATCTAATCTTATTAATACTTATACTTACTGCAGTAAAAAGCAAGGTCCTCCTAATGGTAATGATCCTTCTCCCATTGAAAAAAGCTGTATTATTGTAAAAAGAAACATCTGTAAGAAGAAAGGTTAATGAATACAGTATACTTACATCACCTATGGTTTCTGTACTGCAGGAGTGACATCACTATACTTCCAGTTAGGTCCCGGAATATGCCAAGTACCTTCAATTTCAGAAGATGATGCAGCACAATGCAAGAGCATCTTTATTCGAGATTTTGGGGACTTGGCATTTCCCCGGGACCTTGCCAGTTGAATGGTGACACAATTGTCATGGGACGGTGCTGGCAGAAGCTGTAGTAAGGTAAATATATTTATTATTTTTTTCCCTACAGGTGCATTCTTTTTAAATATTGATGTTGCTATTTACAATGGGAGAGGTGTGCCTAATATTATCTATGTTAAGGAGGAACTAAATCCTATAAGCTGTTCCCAAAAAAGGCAGACGGAGGGCTTGAAGGACAAGTCTTCAGTTTTGCCTGCGGTCTCTCTGAAGCTGATCTTTGCCCATTATTGACTTACCATGTCTTGCTCTGCAATGTGTCTTTGGATAGAGGCGGCCATCTTGGTAGAAGTAGCGTTTTGCCTCCTTATGTCATAGTCCCCAGCAAAGAAAACAAGGAGCAGCACAGTAATGTTATCACCAAATCTCATTACAAATCCGCTAGGACTAGCAATCAGAGGCAGTAGTACCTTTTATCTCACACTGCAGATATACAGCTATGAGGCTGTAGACAAACACGTACTAGGAAATGTACTGCAATTTGCAGGAGGAATTCCCGACAAAAAAGGCAGATTTATAGTGCAAGATTTGCTTTATATAGTGGAAAGGCAAATTTATTCCATAATTCATGCAGCGCTATTGTCCATTTTTATAAAGGGAAGATGTAGAAAATGTTTTGTTTTGTCACATCTGAATGTTGTGTTTTCACAGTACAAGTACCAAGTGAATCTGGATGGGACAGTGGCAGCATACCGATTCCCCTATCTCATGCTGGGCGACAGTGTGGTGCTCAAACAATCTTCTCCCTACTATGAACACTTCTACAGTGCGCTACAGCCAGGGAAGCACTATGTTCCCTTCCAACGCAGCCTGGAAGATCTCCTAGAAAAGATACGCTGGGCAAAGGTGAGACCATAACTTTATAACTTGAAGGCAGATGTGAAAATCCCCATTTACTCCACACAATTGTCCCCAAAGTTAAAGGAGAACTATGAGGTGAGTGCTTTTCACTCACCTCATAGTTCTAGCCGACCTGTGACAATGAGACTGTCATAGGTCGGCTCAGTAGATCGGGAAGTGAGCGAACAAATACCGGCGTTCGCTCACTTCTCGATCCTGTCACGGCTCTCTGCCGTGACAGGAGAGGGACTGGATTCCCCTCTACCCGCTCCGATCCGCCAGCGCTGACTGGCGGAACGGACAGGGGAGGGGGCGGGTACAGCTGGCTCTGCCTCTAGATAGGCAGAGCCAGCTGTCACTCACGCAGCTGGGCAGATCCAGACATAATTGTCGGGATCCGTTTCAGCTGCGGCGTCTCAGTATACCGCGAGCTGTAGCTCGCGGTATACTGAGCTTAGGGTGACGGGAGGACGCTAGTTTGTGTCCTCCCGTTACCCTAAGGAGAACTATGGGGAAAAACACTGACCCCATAGTTCTCCTTTAACAAATCCTGAAGTTATATATAACTGTGCAATTACTTTCATGATGATGATGAAGGCATTTCCTCCCTCCACCCCCTTAATAAACCGCCAAACCCTATTTAAATGACTCTAGGGAGACATTTAGCAACACACTTTTTTCGTTGTTATCTTTCCACATTCCCACAGGTCCGTCCTGTCTGCACTCCCGAATCTGCGACGACCTTTTTATAAAAATGTACTTCATTGGCTGACTTTTTCCTGGTTCTCTGTGCTGGTCCAATGATGTCTTTGCCAGATCTGATGCATGTGGTGTACAAGATCTAGAGATGTTTCTTAATGTTATATATGTTTCCATCTGCGGAAATAAAAACTTTCCCGAGATCTCATGAGGTTTCTCTAACTCTTGTAAGACCTTGCAGTTTGGCAGCAAGACCTTTCTGAAAGGCACTGGTGACGTAGCCTTACCAGTGGGCACCAGTGAAGCCTGGGCTACATCACCAGTGCCTTGGGGAAACATAGAAGTGGCATTCCATAAAAGTAAAATACAAAAATACATATTTTTTTATTATAGGACTTGGGGGGGATGTTTTCATATCAGCATGCAGAGCTGCATGCACCAGGGCATTTTGTGTTGGGGGGGGAGTCCGCTTTAAAATCCTTTCAATCTCTGCACATCAGGGAAAATTTCATATCAGAATTTGACAATAGTCAGTTTCACTGATAGTTTACTAGTGATTAGATAATATGCACTCATGTTGGGTGGGGAGATTATAAGACAATGCATAAAGTTCAAGCAGAGCTCAGACAGGGCTGAGGAGGAAGAGTTGACACTTCTGATCACTGCAGCATCAGAAACAAGGGTAAAGCAGTCCCATGGTTTTGGAGATATTAATGGAACCTAGGAATGGCTGCACAGAATGAAACAGTTCAACAAAGAGTCAGTAGCCATTGTCCAGCTGTGATTTATGTGATGGGCTCTATACCATGGTAAAATAAAGACGGGAAGCAATTCTTTTTCAGCTTTCTTTTTTTTCACATGCACATTTGAGGAATGTTTACTTACCTCTCTGTCAACGATCATTTCCTCTGGTATTTACAACCATGGGCCCAAAATCCTCTCTGACACTGGCCATGCCATGCCATTGCAGTAACTTTTCAAAAACTTGAATGGGTCAAACAATAGTGTCTTCAATCTTTTATTATGGCTTCATTAAAGTCTATGGGGTGTTATTCCACAGACGTGGCCCATGCCAGAGACTCAAGGTGGTTACTATCAGAGGATGTCAGCACTGTCATGGAAATGCAAGTAAGAACCTGGGTCAGTTGTTTTAGGTTAACTGAGTGTGGGCTAGTGGGTTTTAGGTTATAAGTGGATTTGTCCTTTAAAATGTCAGCAAACCCAAAACATTTTAAGTGGTCAATGGCCTTCAAATGAATAGCTCTTGTTTTGTGCGTAATGTTTTTGTGCATTACTATAATCTTCCTGTTTGATCCTGGTATGTCCTCCTCTTTCACTTTTCAGGGGGACAGCGCTTTTGTATCTGATCTTATGTCTTCTGCATTGTCACTCTCACTGTGCAAGCCCTGGCATTCCCTGAAATAAGACATTCACTTCCTATTTTCTCCTCATGTAGTCGCCCCCTGTGACACCCTTCATCTCTTTGCGGGGTGACTCCAGAATAGTGATGGACAGCAGCCCCCAAGTGGCGCTCTTCATTAACTTGCATTGTGGCTCCAACATGTTGGTTGACACACACGTGACGCTTTTCCTTTGCTCGCAATACAGCATATTAAATAATCACCACCACTGAAAACCACAGCATGTTTTTAATCCAATAGATATTACTACAACGTAAACATTTTTTACCAATTCTAAAAATGTGCAAACATCTCAAAAGTGAGATCCTGAAAATATTTGTATTCTTTTACAATAGGTGACATTTTACAAAATAAACCTTTGCTTCAGTGAGCTCCTTTTTTATTTAAAATTGTATTTTGTGGTAAACAAATGACCATGTGACCGCAAGAGCACCAGTCAGCTCCTTGCAGCCACAGGGAAAGGAAGGGAAAGTCCTTAGCTGATGCCACCTGGGTTGGAATTTAGGAGAAATCTTGCAAACAAGGATATGGCAAGAAAGATTCTAAAGCACATAAAGATTTCTCTCGATTACTTTCACCATTCACCCTAAACAGTTTGGAATCTCCCCTGCCGGTTATTGTATTCTGACAGCTGGTACCCTCCTCTATCTGAATCACTGCAGTCACTGTTCCGCTGACTTTTTCTACCTAGCTCATTCCATTTTTCAACCAGTTTGTTGAGCTCAGTGATGTTGGCAGGACCACCTACAGCCTAAATCTCAGCCAATTTCACAGGAATCGGCCGAAATTCTAACAGTATATGGCCAGCCTAACTTCACCACTCTGCTGTTTTATTGTTGCCTTTGTTCCCATTAGGGAGATTTCCTATCACTTTCTACTGTTACTGGAACAGAAAGTGGGGGCAGATTTTTCCAATCACTTTGTTTTGCCTGATGAAGGAACCGGATGCGTTGCTACAGCTGGTGATGTAACTTTACACATGGAATAAAAATAACTTTGCTTGGAGAACCTTTGAAGTGCTGGTGACTTCCTGTTTTGTTTATCTGATCCAGCGGCGCTATCAGCTGTCACTTTAGCACCCCCCACCCTCATTGGAAGTCGGGGCATTTTTGGTCAGGAGTGCGGTAGGATCCCCTATATGACCAGATGTTTCTGATGGGCACATAAACAGCATTTTTTTGATATGTGTGTAAACTTGGCTTACTTTTCTGTGATGACAAGGGTACTTTTTAAAAACAAGTTAGCAGCCTGTTGGCTCTGATTGTTCCCTACTATACCAGTTTACCTTTTTGAATTCCATTTTGTTTCTCATTAACATATTTAATTTATGATTTATTTATTTATTTATTTATTTAATACAGACCTTTATAAAAGTGCCGACTATTTACGAAGCACATTACATACTGCGCATTCACATCAGTCCCTGTCCCAAAGGAGCTTACAATCTAAGGTCCTTATGTCACATGCACACGCACTTACAAGGGCTGCTTCAGACAGGAGCCAATTAACCTACCAGCATATTTTGGAGTGTGGGAGTAAACCCACACAAGCACCGGGAGAACATGCAAACTCTATGCAGATAGTGTCCTGACCAGGGTAAATGTTATTGATCACTGTTCTTCATGAACCTATAGTTGGTGTCTGTTGACCTGTTGAGATTTCCTATGCATCAAAAAAATCTCAAGTTTGTTCGGTGCATTCATTTTGGAAATCTGACAGGAACGGAACATCTCCTGTTACCAGCAGGATTACAGCCATTGCTTTTATGACACTTTTCTGTGGGGATGCCTCCTAACTTAGATTAGAAATCTTCATGTAAACACACGCACACTTTTCATCTTCCTCCATTCTGGTGATTTTACTGAAAATTCTGCTATTTGTGTTCTTTTCTCTTTTTTCCCAGGATAATGATGAAGAAGTTAGAAAGATTGCCAGAGAGGGCCAGACTCTTGCCAGGGAGCTGCTGCAGCCTCACCGCCTCTACTGCTATTATTATAATGTCTTCCAAGTGAGTGATCTGAAACCATCGTCATGAATTGTCATAATTTTCTCTTTGGTGTCACTAACATTGCTAATAGCTTTTCAGTCTTACCCGAGTATGTATGTCTTTGTTTTTAGTTTTCATTATTGTGGTTTGATATTGTAATGAGACAAGTATAACCATAGAAAACACAAGAAACGTGACCAAACCAAATGTATACAAATAGACATTTACCAAGGAAATCAACATCCTTCTTAATATCTTTACAGAATGATACAGATAATTAGATGTTGCAGACATCTGACCAAACTGTACCTGGTATACAAGATGTTCCCTGCAGTTTGAGACCTCTTGACATTTATATTTGGGTAATAAAGTGAACCTATCATTAGAATGTCCCATCAATAGGACACATGTGAGCTTTACCAAACTTCAGTGTTCTTTTAAGGAGAATAGGAATAAGGAAATACAGTAAGTACCTCTTGAGGCTAGGTGCACACCTAGGCGTTTCCGTGCGTTTTTGCTTTTTTTTTTTTCAAAGCGTGTTTTTCCCCTAAAGAGATGTCTATGGGACCAAAGCCATGCAGCATCCACCTAATAATAGCTCCTGCATCTTTTTGCGTGACAGTTGTTTTCTCGCGATGCAACACTAAAGTGTGAACACAATCATTTTAATCATTATTAATAATATCATATTATTTCAGTTTTGCGGCTATCACGTATCTGGCGCGGGTCTATTTATATTTGACTAAACTGTGAACAGTCGCCATTGACTTGCATTGAAATGTGTTTTGCGCATTTCGCACGGATAGATCCGCGAGTAAAAACAATCAGGTGTGAACCAGGCCTGACTGTCACATTGCAGCTTCCTCATGTGCTGTAAAGCAGAGGAAGACTAGACTTCTTGGCCTTGGGCTGCCATGTGTGAGTATTGTGGGTGTTTCATGCCATTAGAGACTGCATAACAGATTGTTGTTTTCAATTTGAAAGACTCTGATGTAACTGCAGTGGGATAAAAGGCACAACAATACATGCAAATGTAATGAGCAACTATGGTTGCCCATATGTACACATAGAATGACATATTAAACATAGAAATGTGTTTTATATAAATTAGCACACACTGATAAGGGGAATTGACAACAACAATAAGAGAGCACCTTAATTCTACTGTACTCCTATTAAAAAGACATATTTTAAATAAGTATTTCAGGATGGCGCTACCCCCACATTGTGAGGGTTTAAGTGTTCATTTTGGTCAACGAGCGAAAATAAAGATATACTCACCTGATCCTTGGTCCTGCAGCAGTGACTACTTACCTCTCTCCCCCTCTGCTTGTGGTATGTCCCTTGAAGTCCTTGCATCTAATAGACCTGCATTACGTCACGGGGCCTTAGACCGCCGGAGCCCGTTTAGCACGCAGGTGGGACTGAGGATCAAGTGAGTATATCTTCTTTATTTTCACCTAGACCAAAACAAGCACTGAACCCTGGTAGAGTTCTTCTTTAAGTCCCAGAATAAAAAAGTTACACACGTGTGTGCCAAAATTCACTAAATCGCCACATATTCTGTGTCTTTCATCATTTTGTTCAGCTTTTTCCCGCTTTGTCTCCTTATCATCTTTTATTCATTGTTTATCTTCAAGACCAGTTTCCTTGTTGCTAGTGACAACTGATGTAGACACCATGATTGTGACCACAGTAGACCACCATTCAGTATCTGAACCTTAGTGAGCTCTATTGTTCATCTATAAACAAAAGAGAAGACCGAGCGTTTTGTAATAGTTTATTCTAAAATACTTGTGAAGCAATCAATCCCTTGTCTGATCCACAGTTGCGTTGAAAACAAGTACATGCAGGCCAAATTGTCATCGCAAACGTCTACTGCAGCCGGTATAACTTGATAAAGCTTAATGTGCCCATAATTCTGCTTCATTGGAGCATTCTGGGCTCTGATAAAGGGAGCATGACCTCCAAAACGCATGAGGCTGAAGTGTAGTGTTACCCACCACGCCCCCCCCCCCCTTCCCAGTCAACATGTAATTTAAAACATTTAAATCAACAAATTAAGTTTTTCAAGAAATACATGTTTTGAGATCCACTGATGCCATCTGCTGCTCTTTGCTCTGAGTTTGGTGGGAGGTGCCATCAGGAACCAGTAAACATCACAGCTTTTTGCCTCGTATCTCTCTCAAAGCATTATATGAAAGAACACATCTCCAGGCTCCCTTTAGACATGCCTGCTTCTCCCTGCTGGCCACTGGGTGCTGCAGACTTTAGCTGTGCAGTCTGCTGATTGATTGGCTTGTTGCATGCACGCCAAAAGTGATGCCGGAAATGTTGTTTTTTTTTTTTACATAAAGCTTGGGAACAAAATGATTGATTGCAAAGTTAACAGCTAAGAGAGGGGAGCCAACAATAGTACGAATCAGGGGATTGATGAATGATGGAGGTCACTCAGACAGGGAAGGAAAGTGGCTTAATGTGGCCCCTGCAGCATCAAAGGGTATATTGTGGAGATGCAAGTTTGCAATTAATTCAGAGTAATTAGTTTCAAAATAGTATAGGAATTGCTACAAGTGTGTGGGGGGGAAAAAGTAAGGCAGTGAGGTTGGAGTTCACCTTTAAGCCTTATCAAGTAGTACATAGTTACATAGTATTTGAGGTTGAATAAAGACATTAGTCCATCAAGTCCAACCTATTAGGATCAAGTCCATCCATCAAGTCCAACCTATTAGTACTGTCTGCGGTTGATGTTCAGATACTAATGATTGTTGGCCCGCATGTACATGTTCTCTTTTTTTATTCAAGCATAAACACATATCAAGATTACAAGGTTACAAGTATAAGTAGATATAAGATTACAAGGCAAGTACAGACAGCATGTGCATTAGTTGACATTCCCTATACCATGGGAGAGCTGATTGAAAGAACTTTGATAGAAGCCAGAAAAACCATCATTGATTGCTTCACTTTTGTGAGAACCTTTTTACAAGTATTTAGAATACATTTTTACATGCAAGGAAAAGCACAATATTATCTTACTTTTATTTTTAAGTTTATGCTCCCCAGTCCATTGAAACTCTGTTCTAGGACCACAAACCTGTCCTAGTGGAACATTCCTACTTCCCATCTCCGGTTGTGTATTTTTTTATATGCTCCTTTGGAGTCTCCAGACCTTAGTGAATTCTCTGAAGTATTATATGAGAAAATGCTTTTCAGAAAGAGGAAACTGGAAAATCAGTTTACATGGACAGGAAGTGAGGGAAGGAAAATCCAGACAGGTCTAACCCTTCCCTAGTCTATGCAAAGCTATTTAAGGTATTCTACTTTACTTACGTTTTTGTCCAGCGGTGGATATAGGAAAATTATTTAATTTGCTTGTTTTTTCAGACATATGCAAAGCGTCAAATAAGTCGTCCTGAAGTCCGTGATAAAATGGAACTCGTTCCTCAGCCAGATGATAATACTGCTATCTGTAAATGCCATAGGAAGATGAAAAGCAAGGATGAGCTGTAATACACGGACCGGATCCTGCGGTGCAGAATGTCACTTTGAATCGCCGGCTTGTATACTGTAAAGCGGTACTGCTGTGGCCTGAGATGGCCATTACAGAGTCTAAAGGTGTACACAACTCCTATGCAGTACAGAAGGACTCCTCTAATATGATTTATTTTTGATTAAAATTCCATTTAATAATGTTCGTTCCAGCAGGATGTCATACACTGAGCCATGTTCATTCAGACTGAGCCAAGAGCAATGATATGATAAAAGCCATAGCAACCGATCAGTTTACAGCCCCTATCAGATTATGTATAGGTGATTTGTGGCTGGCCGATATGTAGCGGTACACCATTGTTATCATTTGTGTTAAATCACAGCATTTGTCCTTTCTCCACTTCTGTTATCAGTTCTCTTTATGATTGGGAGGACCGGTCTGAATTGCAGGACACCAGACACTGTAGGCAGGGTGGGCTGTTACAAAAGAGGTACTATTACTAAGTGCAGGACTCCGGACATTTCTCTATCTGTAAAGGAGTTGGGTTTGTTCTGTTGATAAGGTACCATACATGTGATAATGGGCAAAGTAGCAGAAAACTAAACCTCTCTGAGCCATGTGACCAGTGCTGGTTTATGTGACAGCATCCCATATAGAAAGGAAAGTAGGAGACTTTGAAGTCACCAGCTGTTCCATAGCTCAACAGTTATAACCGTAAGGAAAGGCTCATCGGGGGAAGCAAACACAGTACATAAATAACCTCTGTGTGCCTATTTTACCAGTCTGATGGTTTAAAGCTGAACTACAGACATACATTTTATATAAATATTTTATAAATATTTAATATTTTACTGTTTACCTGCACTTTTGCAAGACATATCCGTCAGGTCCATTACTTCTTGGCAGACTACATTGCAATTACAGTTTGTCCTGTGATTTGAAAACGAAGTAGCATTGATGCATGTGTTAGGTCATCCTTGCTCACTTCTCTCTAAGCCCGTTGTGAAGCTCCCATTGTAAGACTGGCAGCACTGTGTAATACAATAGAGCCTGATTGGCTGACAGTGATGGCACTCCCTCTCCTAAACTGTCAGGAGGCTAATATCAAGAAGGATTCAGTTACTTATGCTAGCTTTATGTAAACATTGTAATTGTTTCTTTTTCATGAGCGCAAACTTGGATGAAATAGTTTTGTTTTTGTATGGAGTTTATCTTTAAAGCCGCTCTGTCAGTAGGTGCACCAAAGTAAACTAAAGCCATCCTGTAAAAGATGATGTATACTTATGTTTCTAGCGGCCTGTGTCTTAAATGTCTTACAGATCTCTGACCACCACTGGTATCTGACATCCAGGTGTGTTGAATGCCGGGTCCCCTGCCACATGCTGTGGTTCTTCCTAATGGTTCCTATATCCTGTAGTGATGTAGGAGCTGGACAGAGGAACCAGAGGGTCACGTTGAAGTTCCAGTCTGAGCTTGTAAGACTGACCAAGCGTAAGCTATATGGTCAGTTATTAGTCATTCATACTTCTACAATCACCCTTGATTAATCATGGAAGACACTCAATCATTTGTAGGTTATAGAACAATGGACGCCATGTGGTAGACTCTACACAGGAGCACCTAGCAGTAATTGGTTGTGCATAATTGTCTACCGTCTGATTGTGTTTGACTAATTATTCATTCATTCTACCATGCAGCTATGGACTTGGGGATTCCATTGTTTTATCACTTAGAAATCATTCTCATGTTTCCTGCAATCACATAATATGTATATTAACACAACCACAACTTCCCCTTATAGCCTGGGTCATAAGTCTACGTCTTCCTCTACTAGGTTTCAGACTTCTAATTGTTTCTAAGGAAAATTCTGAGACCCCAGAAGAGGTGCAGGCAGATGGAACATACCTAAATCCAAAACCAAAATTGTATTATTCGGTACCTTTTAGGTCTGTAAATATATAACTGAAAGCTTTCTGTGATATCTGTTTGAGAGGTTAAAGGAGAACTATGAGGTGAGTGCTTTTCACTCACCTCATAGTTCTAGCCGCCCTGTGACAATTAAACTGTCCCAGGTCAGCTCAGGAGACCGGGAGGTGAGCGAACCCATACCGGCGTTCGCTCCCCTCTCGATCCTGCCACAGCTCTCTGCCGTGACAGGGGAGGGGCTGGATTCCCCCTTCCATGCTCCGATCTGCCAGCCCTGACTGGCGGAACGGACGGGGGAGGGGGCGGGTACAGCTGCTGGGGGATCCAGACATAATTGTCTGGATCCGCTTCAGCTGCAGCGTCTCAGTATACCGCGAGCAGTAGCTCGCGGTATACTGTGGCGTCTCAGTGTACCGCGAGCTGTAGCTCGCGGTATACTGAGTTTAGGGTGACGGGAGGACGCTAGTTTGTGTCCTCCCATTACCCTAAGGAGAACTATGGGGAAAAGCCTTAACCCCATAGTTCTCCTTTAAAAACAAATCTGTTGATTTTGCCTTCTGAGTTGATTATGTTCATGTGCTCTATGCCTATACTACAGAACTATGGACCTATAGGTTATGTAGAATAAGAGAGGGGCTGGGTTCTGTGGTTCTATCTTGTTTCTGTTGTCCTGATACAGCACAGTGAGTGTTATGATGCTAGAACAGTGTTATGGGCCGAATCACCAGGTGAAAATAAAGGTTGCAAAGCTTAAAAAAAAATAATAGAAAACTAATACAGACGCCTCATCTGATAAGCTGCAATATTTTTCATTTTTATATTTGGGTTTAGATACACTTTAAATCGGTAGAACAGAGGCAATGTAGTGGGTACTGCTCATGCACTACATTCCCCCAATTGGGACTCCTAGATATTCACTTTGTGAACTCTGCCTGTTTAATTTTTGTGTTTTGGCTCTTGCTTTCTATTACATTGCTCTTGCACCAGAAACTATGTATATGACACTGTAATGAACAATATGACACCTGTGCTTCTTCCTACCCACGTAGAACTCTTTTTTAATCACCAAGGCCACTGATAGAAGAATGCACTGTTGCAGGTACCTTAAGCTGGCCATACAATTATCTGCAGATTTTCTATGGTCAGATGGAAAAGGTGGAACAGATTCCTCCATCTACACTTAACTGTGTGGATGGAGTAATCTCCACCTGGGCCAATCTGTTGCACTTTTTCCATCTGACCACAGAAAATCTGCAGATAATTGTAAGGTATATGGGCACCTTAAGTCTCCAGTTTGGCCCATGATTTAAAATCTATCTGTACTTCCCCATGAAAGCAACAGATTCTCTTAAATGAAGGAAAGTATATACATCTGTGGAGGTCTACATTAAACTCCCAACCTGCTATGTTCAGCCACTGGGAGTGAAATGAAAGTCTTTGTCAAGCGGAGTCCTAGTTTACACTGAGCTATGGACTCCCCTGCGACAGTGCTGATTGGCCCAGTGCTGTCACATGGAGTAAGTCTCACATGTGCCTCCATGCCTAGAAGTACCGGGTATTCTCTTTATGGTCCATTGCTAAGTGGCAGGAAAGCAAAGGAAAGGTCAGTATATGCTGCTGGAAATGAAAGCAAACCTGTTGTGATTGTCTGCGGTAAACGCTCTGTGCTGTTCTCCTACATGGCAAATGTAACAATTTAAACATAAAGAATATTTAGTAATATTTTATATGACAGTATCTCCTTCCAACTGCTGCTGCAAATGTACAGATTTCTATGTGCTGTTTTTTAATATGAATTTATAATAAAGAATATTTTTATGTCTCTAATTATTAGCGTTATTGGTAGAGAACTGACAGGTTTTTCTGTGAGCTGGTATTATTTGTTTTTTAACAAACGCAGAGCTGTGAAAATGTCTTTATATGAAACATGAGAATAAGGTGTAATGACACCTAGGAGTTCATTTATAAAAGTTTAAACTCAAAACGTTGCTATTTGTATTCCTATCCTAGAAATTAATTGTGCACATGTATCATTATGGGGTTAGTTTATAAAGGGTCTGCCAAATGTATAGCTGGGCGGATACAGTTCACATGGCGCTACTGGATGGCACTGATGAGCATATGAATGTCCTATACGCGTCATCTAAAATAAATAAAGATGTACTCGCCTTATCCTCGCTCCTGACTGACCGGGGATCAGGTACGTGTGTCTTCTTTCATTTAAAACCTAGACCAAAATCAGCACTTAACCCTTGCTGTACATGGTCCCTGAAAGGGTTAATTTTTTGACATGCCCTTTAAAGGGTTGTACACTTGTAAAGACATTAATGGATATCATGTTCTCACATTTGTTAGGCTGCACCATTCAAGTACCTATTTTCCTGCCACAATCTGAACTCATACAAGGACAGCTTACTATTAGAAAAGTATCCTGTGTTTAATTTTCCAACAACACATGGAGATGAACAATGGACTTATTCACAAAGGTGTGACATTAAAAACATTCACGTCACTGCGTGTTGTCATTAGGGAATTGTGTTGAGATGAGACAAGATCTGAATATTTCCTCTCAATACAGAAATGCTGATCAAATTCTATTACTGAAGTCACGTCTTACATTGTACACAAAAGAATTTGTTTAATAATACAAACTTGATAACTTGGAGTTCTGCCAGTCTTGTACATGATTAATGGCTAAGTGCACGCAAATACAGAATATTGTTGTGTATGGCTCAATACATTTATCATAAACCTGGTTTTGGGGAAGTGCTTCAACGTTCTAATTTGAGATTACTCACCTTTGCTGTAATGGTCTTATCACAAGGCTGACTGTGAATAAAAGAAGTCTTCTAAACATAGGTAGATATGGTTGCCACTGTTGAACTGAGACTGGGCGATTCTCAATAAATGTATCGGAACCCTCATTATATGAGAGGGCTATTTTGCAAAGGGCAATTTTACTCAGAAAACCACGTTACACACTAACATTGCACTTACTGGCCCACTTCTTGAGAGCCCAGGAACCAAGACATAGAGGATGTAGTCTACAGCTCACACATATATATATTCTACACTGTCTGCCAGAAAGTGCTATAAATAATTGGACCATAGTGATA